GCCTTACAGGGTCACTATGAATCGGAACAGACTTGATGGCAACAGACATGTTTTTTTCTCTCACAAGTGCCTCAGTTATATAGGAGCATAGCCTTGTATTACCCACGTCTACATCGTCTGTGCTCACCTAGTACGTAAGCATTGTGTGTCTGGCTTACAGCAAATGTTCAACAGTACTTGTTAAACTGTATTTAAATACTCGGTAATATGTGAAATCCTAAGCAAGATTCAGGGCAAGAATTAAACTCTTGTCTAGTTCTTGGAACAAGACTTTTTTAAATTTATGGTTTAATTAGGCTCATTTTAACCATATTTAAAAACAGAAAAAGAGACACTCAAATTTTACCTTGAAAAGGGAGGTAGGAGTTGTAGTAGAAAGCTACCCTTCACTTAAAAGCCCGTAGGAAGAATTCTCTTGTACAAAGCTGCTTTTTTACCCTCCGCTTCCTCACTTTATGCTTGCTCAGACCTTCAATCTGCACATGGTTTATCTTGGCCTCTCCAGCCACTCTCTCAACTCTTCAGCTTCAGTTCCCACTGCTAACAAGCAACTTATCTCCGTATTTGCTAATTCAAATTTCTGAAAGGCCTTTTTTGTCTTGTTTTTTTGACACCAGGTCACTGTGGTGTCTTAAGCTGTGGTTCAGTTGATCAGGTTTAGGTGCCATGCCAGGAGTTCCAGGACCAATCAACTAACCTTCCTCCAACCCTCAATTCAATATACTATTTTAATTTTTTTATTACCATCCTAAAGTACATCACTAAAATAATTTTGCAATACTTTTATAAACAAGTCTTGTCAAGACTTGTTCACAGAGAGCAAAATCTTGCATACTTATTCACATAACCAGCTTTCCATTCCAAACATGCAAGGAGTTAACAGTATCTTCCTATTTCTACATGGCCACGAATGTGCTTTGGTCTGCTATAATTGATCAAGAGCAGTAGTTTAAAAAGTGTTTGTCCAAGCTTCTGTACGTTTTCCCATACATTTATAATGTAAAGAAATTGTACTCCAGACATTTCTTTGTTAAATTGTATCCCATAATATCAAGTTAACTTTTATATAAGGGTAAGCACATACAATGGCAATCTATCACTAATCAACACAATCTGTTTCTCTTCCTCCAACTTAGTATCACTAGGTAATGACTGAAGAAGACAACTTACTAGAAAGATCTCTTGGGAAGGAAAGAGCAGTATTTGCCATGAGCCACTCTTAAGTAAGGGGGAACTCTGGTAGCATAGTGGCTAAGACACTTGCCTGCTAACCAGACGGCTGGCGGTTCAAACCCACCAGCCACTCCTTGGAAGGAAGGTTGGGCAATCCTACTTCCGTAGTGATACTGCCTCGGAAATCCAAGGAGAGGTCACTATGAGTCGGGGCCGACTCGACGGCACATAACAACAACAATAACTCTTAAGTAGCTTCTAATAAAATCAGATTCTCACTGCCATTACTCTCCTGCTTAAAACTGGAAAAAAATGAGTTAAATGTTTTATCTAGGAAGACATTACATTTTCACTAAAATCAAGCTTAACAGAATGAGAGTAGATACACATCTTTGAAAGGAGAGGGCAATTTATTCACTAAATAATTATTCTGGCTATTCTAAGGTTCAACAACCACTGGAAAGAAATATTGCCAGAAAGGGGCAAGGTGAAGGCCATTCAGAAAATCTGAGTGAAGATAAAACTTTTTCAAATGCAGACTGTTGCAAATACATTTCTTGCTATAAAGGAAGGATTTTCTATTTTAAAATCACGTAGAAGGTATTGTAGTTAGCCAACCTTATTATCTGTCCTCGTTGGTGACTCATTTTCATTTCATCTGCAGTAATCAGCAGCTGACTAGGTAATACCACAACCATCAGTTTAGACTACTTTTAATGAACATATCTTAATACATCTAATATCACAGGACATAAATTGATATAGTTTAGAGACTGCCGGTGTTGTCTTTAATGAGCTCTGGTGGTGCAGTGGTTAAGTATTTGGCTGTTAACCAAAAGGTTTCTGGTTTGAACCCACCAGCCCACTCCTCAGAAGAAAAATGAAGTAGTCTGTGTCCATAAAGATTTACAGTCTTAGAAACCCAATGGTTTCCAACACTATGAGTTGGAATCAACTGGATGGGAGTGAGTCTGGTTTGGTTTGGACGTTGTCTTTAAAAGCAGCTTGAAATGAACACACTACCAGAAAACTTTCATTTGATAAAATACACTAAAAGGCAAGGGGCTTTCTTGTCTTTGTTTAGCAAAAATTCACAGGTCTTAAAAAAACAAAGAAAATGTTAACTTGAAGAATGGTCCCTGCTACTGCTGTTGCTGCATGCAACCAGGCAGAACGTGGTTCTGCAGTCCCACAGGTCTGCATCTCCTCCCTCTCCACATAAGATACTTATGTTCCTAGAGTCCACAGATTTTTCTTTCTTTCCCAAAGAGAAGCTTACAAACACTCTGATTTACTAACTAGGCCTATTTATGTTTGTCAAGCTAATAAAGCAGAAAAGAAAAAGAAAAAGCACTAATTTCATCTTTCATAGTTGAAATCATCAGAGACATTCTAAGGTTACAAAGTCAAGAATTTATATTATTTAAAGCCAAAAAAATATCCAGAAGAACAAATACAATAATTTAATAACCAAAAATTAAGACGCACTAGGAGGAAAGGAAGGAGCTCTGGTGGTAAGTGGTTAAAGTATTCAGCTACTAACCAGAAGACTGGCAGTTTGAACCCACCAGCTGCTCTGTGGGACAAACATGAGGCAGTCTTCTTCTATAAACACTCACAGCCTTGGAAACCCTATGTGGGTCACTATGAGTCAGAACTGACTTGATGGCAGTGGGTTTGGCTTTGGGGTAGGAAAGGAAGCAGAAAGAAACTTCTCATCTTTCAAGGGAAGGAATTAATAGATACTTTCTAAAGTTGATAAATTACAAAACAGAATATAATTTTTAAAGTGATAAAGGCAACCTCCAAAAGAACCAGAAATAAACTGTCAACACTGGTTAACTCTAGAGGTGTGTGATGTTTTATTTTATACTTCTGTACAATTTGTGTGTTTGATCTACTTTTTCAAAATACAAACTAATAAATAGAGGCCAGAGGCTCCATGTTAGCAAACAACTGCTGTTGTTGTTGTTATGTGCCGTCGAGTCGGACCTGACTCAAAGTGACCCTTCCTTGGGTTTCCAAGACCGTATCACACAGAAGTAGATTGCCCAACCTTCCTTCCGAGGAGTGGCTGGTGGGTTTGAACGGTCAGCCTTCTGGTTAGCAGTCAAGTGCCTTAGGCACTATGCCACCAGAGCTCCCAGCAAACAACTGTTGTTGTTGTTATGTGCCGTCGAGTCAAACCC